GCCGGTTCAGATCGGTTCGAGCAAACCGGAGGTTAAATTGACATCTGGTTCGCCAAACCAGTTGGCAACTCTAAAAAAAGACCCTAGAAATATATTATGAGTTGACATTGAATTTTATGAGTTGGACCGACTGGCTGGCCTCGCCCACCCCTCCCCGGAATCTCCACCATCCCCTTTTTGGATGCAGGTCTGTGCAAGAGGCTCTGGGAGGCGGGAAAATGGGCCTTCAGGAAGTCCGGAACTGGTCCAGAGGGCCTACGGACCCTGGGGGAGGCTGTTTTCACCCTCCCAGAGGCCCGAGGAAAGCCTCTGGACCCAGGGGAAGGCAAAAATCACCCCCCCCGGAAGTTCTGGTAGGCCACGCCCACCCAGCAACCGTGCAGCAAACCAGTTGCTGTGATTATTGAATCCCACCCTTGGGCCAAAGCCAATGCCACCGAAACCACGTCTGTTTCGATGTGCATCACACCTGGGGGGGAAAAGGGTGCGGGGCTGCCATCAGGTGCTTGCAACCATTTTGACTTTTTTTTGACCTGGCCAGTAAACCTAGAGACACTCTTTTTATCGTTTTCTCACATCACTCAGGAAGTTTGAGTTGGAACCATCTTTGATTTTTTCAAAGAAGCAACATTTAAGCTGGCCAAGTTTAATAAAGTGCTTATTTAGTAATCTCTGGAGCTGAATGGGCTACTCTTTTATCGTATATCAAAGGGACTCTACCCAAAACTGTGGGTTTTCCACCTAAATGGTAGCTATCGTGTAATTTCTGAGTTGAAGGAAGGAGATACAGGTAGTCCTTGACTTACGACCACAATTGAGCGCAAAATTTCTACTGCTAAGCAAGACAATTGTTGAGTTCTGCCCCTTTCTGGCAACCATTGTTAAATAAATCACTGCAGTTGTTAAACAGCTCATGTATTTGTATTGTAAGGTAAATCTAGATTCCTCACTGAGTTTTGCCCCATTTTACGACCTTTCTGGCAACCGTTGTTAAAAGGAGTCTCTGCAGTTGTTAAATGAATCATCCAGTTGTTAAGTGAATCTGACTTCTCCACTGACTTTGCTTCTCAGAATGTGTCTGGAAATCATCACATTGCAAGTGATGATTATGTAACCCTAGGACACTTCAACCATCATGAGCCTGGATGGTTCAGTGGTTAGAGTGCAGTACTGCAGGCTACTTCTGCTGGCTGCCAGCTGCCTGCAATTTGGCAGTTCAAATCTCACCAGGCTCAAGGTTGACTCAGCCTTCCGTCCTTCCGAGGTTGGTCAAATGAGGAGCCAGATTGTTGGGGGCAAGAGGCTGACTCTATAAACCGCTTAGAGAGGGCTGTAAAAGCACTGTGAAACGATATACAAGTCTAAGCGTAATTGCTATTGCTATAAATATAGGCTTGTGGCCAAGTGCCTGAATTTCGCAACTGTTATAAGTGTGAGGGCCAGTCATAAGTCATTTTTTCACAGCCGTTGTAACTTTGAACAGTTGCAACATGAAAGGTTGTAAGTCAAACTTACACCAAAGTTGAAAACTATTACTTTTGGCCCAGTTGTTATAAATATTAGTTAGACAAACCCAGCCAGTTGTGGTTTGTTTCACAAATCATGGTTAAATGAACTATGGCTTAGTTTGAAGGGGGGAAACTCAAGGCAACTGTGAAATCTCCCTAAGTCACTTTTTTTCAGTGCTGTTATAACTTCAAACTGTCCCTAAATGAACGGTTGTAAGTCAAGGACTACCTGTATGCGAACCAGTTTTAGAAACCGTTGAAATCTGCAATTCTTTTGAGCGTCGCATTGCAGTTTTCCAATCCTTTTTTTAAAAAAAAGTCCATGAAAGAAAGTACTTTACATGAAAATATGTTAAGATTTAGGATGGTGATAATAGTAAATAAAAATACGAAGCACTCCCCAAGTTCCTTAAAAGAGGTTCCCTTAGCAGTGTTCCCTCAAAAACTGCACCCCATTACCCATTAGCCACTGCCCTGTGCCTCTCTTCCTGTGGTTGAATTGTAGAAAGTCTACTGCCACTTGGAGTACGCCGACATGGCCAGCCAGCCAGGTAATAAAAAATTGGCAAAGCTGCGTGATAGGTGGAGACTCACCATTTGTGGCATGAAGACGCAAGAAGAATATTCGTACTCACTGCCAGAAAGCTGTGGATCCCCAGAAGGGAAAAACATGCCTACAGAAAGGTAGAGGATTAAGAGAATTGTTTTGTCCGGCGGTTAAGGCATCAGGCTAGAAAGTGGGGAAGATCATGAGTTCGAATCCTGCATTAAGCATGCAAGTCGACTGGGTGACTTTTGGAGCCAATCGCTAGGAGACGAGTGAATTCTAGTCACGCCTTAAAGGCACGAAAGCCGGCTGGACGATTTAGGGCCAATCGCTGGGAGATGGCGAGTTCTAGTCCTGCCTTAGGCATGAAAGCCGGCTGGACGACTTTGGGCCAATCGCTGGGAGTGGTGAGTT